CGTGCTCCCGCCCATTGCGAGCGCGCCGTGCAGCGAGTCCTGTTGGTGTGTCAGCGCGAGGGCGGTGGCGCCCGTGGTCATGTGCTCGAGCGCGGCGACGCGCGGGAGGGTGCGCAGGTGCGAGAGGGAGGTGCCTGCCGCGGAGCAGACGGCAGAGGGCGGGTGGGCAGCGTGTTTGGAAAGGGCGGTTTCGGTCTGGGTCATAATAGTTGGTCAGGGGTGCCGGAGCGCAGATGTAGTCAACCAAGGGTCGATCTCGGAAGTGGGGTGCGCACCTGGATAGAGGTATCGATGATGACCACCTCACATCCCTTCGCCTCGAGTAGGTCCTTCACGAACGCGTACTCCGCTTCCTTAGTGTCGAGGAAGCCGATGAGGAGGACCTTCGGCTTCGCGCCGTCCGTGCTTGTAGATCTAGACATGTACCTGGAGAGGATTGAGGAGCGCGAATAACAGCGGGGGTCGCCTCGAGCTCAGTGAGAGTAAATGCACGGTAGCGATGGAACCACCACCGCTTCGACGTGCAAGTCAGGCGAGGTGGAGGGAAAGACGAGATGTGATATGCGGGATGTGAGTAGACGTCATATGTAGATTGCTTGTGAACAGAAGATCGCCTGCGAATAGAAGGATGTGCGTCCAGCATAGATGACGCCTATATGCGGTGTCGAGCGAGTGGGGGGTCACAGGACCTATATGCGGTGCTGGCTGCTCACGGGACGCTATGAATAGCCAGTACCCAGGCCCTGATCGGTGTCCGGATAGATGGACGCAGCGAAATGGGTGTATGGGAATGTATGGGAGTCCTCAGCGAGCATATGGTGAGACTCTTTCCTTTCGTGATAAGGTAGATGCTGGAGGTAGTGGGGAGGCGCGCACCTGGATGGAGGTAAAAATTATGCACACTTCATGCACCTTGGGCGCGAGCAGGTCTTGCACAAACGCGTACTATTCTCTTTCGTGTCGAGGAGGCCAATGGGGAGAACGCGCGGCTATGTCTCATTCTGCAGTCACAGACGTGACGAGGAGATCGAGGCAGCTGTTGTTGGGAGCAGGGTATAAAAGCCGTTATATGCGCGCAGCTGGCAAGCGGTAGGAACGGAAGATCCTCTAAGCACAAGGCAAGTTAGAGCAAGAGAGCGTGCAGGATTACGACACCTGGATGCCGCCGACGGATAAATTCGCTCTACCACCCCTTCGCGCACCGTGGAGGATAATACCAGACCACAAACGCGCACTTACAGAGCAGTTCAAACACGGACAGAAAACGGCGGGGGGACTGGGCAAGACATGGCTACCCAGATCGTCGACGTGGCATACGCAACCGAACTCGACAGCCATGTCATGCCAGTCCACCCGAAGCTCCAAGTTACCTACCCCACCCCCGTCCTCTCCTCATACTATGTCTCTGTGCTAGCCCCCAGCCCGCGCTTCGCCCGCTCCACCCGCGCCTCCTCCTCGACCTCGCGCAGCGCGGCGTCCGCCCACCCCGCGAACCCGCGCTGCTCGTACGCGGCACGCAGCCGGGCCTCTGCTGCGACCCACGTCCATGGTTCTCCCGTAGCGTGCTCTGGTTGTGAGGGTGATGGTGAGGGTGCAGATGGGGAGGAATCGGAGTCGGAGTCGGGGTCGGGAAGCCGGTGCAAGCGCGCGGCGAGCCCGGGGAGGCGGAGGAGGAGCGTTTGGCGCATGTAGTCTGCGAACTCGCGAGTCTGTACCAAGAAATTAGTGATTAGTGAGCAGTGACGCGTGTGGATGTAGGCAGAGGATCCGATATGACACGTACATCTCGCACACCCGTGTACGCTTTGACCCCCCACACGCCCGCCGCCGCGCACGTCGTCACGCCCAGCGTAGCGATCCCGAACGCCTTCAAGCCTTGCAGCGGCGCGTTGAACGCATCCGCCGGCACCTCAGCCGCTCGAGGATTCGGCTCGACAGGCCTGATGCGAGCGGGTTGGAGGCGGCCAGCGGCCTTCGCAGTTCTGCGCGCCGGCGGGGCGAGCTCAGCGAGCGATGCGCGGTGCCGCTTGAGGAGGTAGATGGGGAGGGCGAGGGCGGCGGTTGTTACTGCGAGCTGTGGATGATGAATGACGCTCAAGCGACGGGCGGGTGGCGGAGGGCTTGCTTACTAAAGAGACGGGCACCCAGCGGGGAAGCGGTTTCTTCTTCTCGTCGACAGTAGGATTACTGACAATTTGCGCAGATGTCGAGGCTGTGGGCGGCGAAGACATGGTTGTATAATGTAGATGTATGAATCACCCGTTGGCTTTTGCTTCGGGAGCGGATAGAGAAAGAAACTAGATACTGTTATGAGCGGTAGGCTGAAAAAAAAACTAGCTAGCAGCCGTAGCAAGATACCCTTCGAACCAGCGCCGCCCAGCGAGTAACAGAGCCAAATTGCAAGTGACAAGTCGGACTTGCGGCAAAATCGTCGAGAGGACCTCGCGGCACTACGCAGCCACCTCGAGCTGCCACGTGCGCCGCCTCCCAGCGGGCCTTCCAAACTTAGCCAAATAACCTCCACAACGCAAAGTTATCGACGCAGGCGACGGCGACGACGGCCATAGACCTCAAGACTCCCAGCAACTAACATGTCGGTGAGTACCGTGCCCTTTGCTGTGTGTCTATGTGGAAGATGGGTGGAATGGGAAGGGTAGGGAAGGGTGGATGCGCGTAGGGAAGGTTGGATGCAGGGCAAGTGTGGGCAGGGTAGGGCACGTATGGGAGAGTCGGGCGGTCCTTTGTTTGCGGAGTACTGGAAGCGACGGGACGGGATGGAATGCTGACGCCGCTCTCGTTCGTAGAGCCAACAACCATCAGTCTTCAAGCGCTTCGTCGAGGTCGGCCGGGGTATGTGCGCCGCTTACACCCCCCTCCATCCGGATACTAACGTTACCTTTGCAGTCGTCCTCCTCAACTCGGGCCCGCACGCAGGGCAGATCGCCGTCATTGCTGAGATCATCGACCACAACCGGGTGCGTCCCCCTCCCCTTGTCTCCCTGTCCCCACTGACCCCTTCCCCCAGGCAATCATCGATGGCCCCCTGACCAACGTCCCGCGCCAGTCCTTCCCCTACCGCCACCTGACGCTCACGCCGCTCGTGCTCACGAAGCTCCCTCGCGGCGCGGGCACGGGCGTCATCCGCAAGCAGCTCGAGAAGGAAGCGACGCTCGACAAGTGGGCGAACTCCGCGTGGGCGAAGAAGCGCGCCGCGGTGCAGAAGCGCCGCACCCTGAGCGATTTCGAGCGGTTCAAGGTGATGCTGCTGAAGAAGAGCAGACGCGATGTGGTGCGCAAGGCGGTGAAGAAGGCGGCGGCATGAGCGCGTGTGGGAGTGGTGGGGATGCCTCGGTGTGAGGGGACGCTGAGGAGAGGGGAGGGGGGCTGCACGCTGCAGTACGCAAAAACTGCTGGGACCTAGGGTTCGTTCTCGCTACATACGCATATTCGCTGTGTCACTATTCGCATTTGGCCCATGCTATCTTATGAACATGCCATGCTCCATGCCTGCTCGGGCACTCATTGTCCCCGAGGCTGGATTGTGAGCGACTCGATATGATCGTGATATTGGTATCAACTGCATCCATGTCCACTTGGAACACGGCAAGGTGTTTCTGTAACTGTCGCGCACATTTCTGAACCCGAGATTGACGATGAGTGCTCCTCATAATCGTATGGGCAGGGTACTTCGCCAACTATATTACGCGGTCGGGACAAAATGAAGGGCGTTGAGTGACTTCGGGTGCGGTGTTGCAGTGGTAAAGGAAGAAACCACCCAAGATGCATTAAGCGAGAATCGAACTCGCGGCCAGTCGATGGCAACGACTGAGGTTACCACTACCCCATTAATGCTCGACTGATTGCCCTTCTGGACGTATACGAGATAAGCGCAATTGCTGTGGCCTCACGCCTTGAGATATATCATCCCAAGACATACTTCCTAACAACCTAGATCTACATACGCATGGGAGGTGACTGCGCCATGCATTCTCTGTGGGATTGGGGACCCCCGGACTGACTGTAGATTCCCCGGGCCACATACTTGCGATATCCTTGGCGGGTATGTCGATTGCTTACATTCAGGCGATATTCTCTTGGGCGATTCCGACGCGGTACATTCTTCGATGACTTTGTCCGGTTCTGCCACCACTGATGGCGCCCACATTCGCTGAGTTCAAACTCCCCGCGCCAGATCTCGATACATAACCTCTTTCGAGGCCTCTGCTCCCTCCATTCCTTGGCGGAGACCTGGAGGCCACATGAAAGAAGCTGCAGTGCGCCTTCTATCAGGAAGTTACTGTGGCACTCGGTCGTTGGTGCCTCTGTGCAATGTGGCATGCCGGGTATACCGGGCAGTTGCCTGCGTGCTATCCTGATTTCTGACGGAGCCCTATCTATCGCAATGCCGGAGAGCTACGATGCTGATTTGTTTCTCCTTGACGTTCGGTATCTGGTCGTTCTAGAGATTCGCGCGACGGAGTCGCATGATATAGACACAGGCCTCTCGTTTGCACTCGGTGCTAGCGAAACAGATTGCAGGCAACATACTTTCCTGGAGTACTAGTACTCACTTGGTACGCCTGTGGACGGGCAAGCTCAGGATATCCGTCTCAGTCTCTTACTCCTACAGCTTTGAGCACCGCCGCCGACTTCTCCTTGGCAAGATACAACGCCGCATGAACAGGCGACCCAACGACTTCTATCAGACATCAGGTCCGTTTCTAGTCATTGGTACACCCATGCAACACCCATGTGTCTAGAATATGTTTGCCCGACGGACTGCCCTATCTATCGCACTGCGCCACAGACCTGGATCAAACCTGCATAGATGTCAATGTTGACCTTGTTCCCCAAGAGCATTCTGTACGCCCCGGACGCCGCAAGTACCGAACCACAGTCGATGATGCTGGGAAAGGAAGTATCTTCCTGTCATGCACCATAATTCGGGCCCTGCGACGTCCGCGTCGCGCCTGCCCCTGGTGCTCAAGCACGTCAATCTACCTCGGGCAACAGCAGGTGGTAAACCGATGCTGCAGGTGGCCCGCACCCAGGCTCGCTATCTCCTCACGCGGCTTCCCGCCGGATCATAGCACCTCTGCATACGAGCACGCTTAAAAGCAGACCTCGCGGGGCGAGGACGGCAGGCGCTCACCCACCTCTCGCCCTCTTCCCCGCAGCAGGACCTCGCCATGTTCGCATTCAAGAAGCTGCTCGCCTCGACGATCCTCGCGGTCGTCTGCGCCTCGGGCGCGCTCGCCGCGCCGTGGGACGCGTCCGCCAAGTACGCGACGCACCGCGTCCGCGAGGTGACGCGCGACCTCAAGCTCGAGACGTTCCACCCCGAGTCTACGTACGAGGTACGCATTATATACACCCCCTCTGCTCAATGTGATCTGCGGTTTGCGGTGCTGATGAAACGTGGAGACCTTTGGTGCAGGGATTGATCACCCTCTATCCAAGCGCGCGGACGCGGGCTTCGAGGACGCGGCGGTCGAGTTCGTCGCGGAGAAGCTGAGCGTCCCGGCCGACCAGGTTTCGTACAAGTCGGGCTATGAGGGGGACGCGCACACCGTCGCATACGTCAAGCAGCACCATGTAAGATTCAGTATCTCGACGTTGGTGTCTTTTATGTCGTGTTGACGTGCGTACTCGTGTAGGAAGGAGTGCCCTTCGCGAACGCCGTCGCGAATGTCGCGTTCAACAAGGACAACAAGGTCGTGGCGTTCGGGTCTTCCTTCGTGAAGCCATGTGAGTTATCTCGTTATTATGTGCGCTGTCTCATCTAACCCCGTCTGCCAGCTACGATCGCGGCCTCGACACCGGCCATCTCCGTCGACGAGGCCATCGCGAAAGCAGAGGCAGCTCTGGGCGGCAAGTACAACAACTGGCCCGCATCGCTGGAGTACCTCGCCCAGGCCGACGGGTCCGCCGCGCTCACGCACGTCGTGCAAATCCAGAACGAAGGCACCGGTGCGTGGTACGAGGCGTTCGTCGACGCGCACTCCGGGGAGGTCCTCTCCGTGACGGACTTTGTCGCCAAGGCGTCGGTAGGTCTTCGTGATAGCCGTGTGGCGCGTGTCGTGCTGAGCGGCGCGTGTAGTACAAGGTCGTGCCGATTCAGGAAGAGGACCTGACGGAGGGGTTCCAGACCCTGACTGACCCCCAAAACACCGCTTCGTCGCCCTTCGGCTGGCACAGCGACGGTACCACCAGCACGACTGTAACTGCGTACGCTCCTTTCCCCAGCTCTATTAAACAAAGGATATCAGAACTGAATCGATTGGTGCAGCGGTAACAACGTAATCACCTACAAGGGCAGCACGAGCGGTACCGCCTCGCAGAGCTCCTCGGGTCTCAACTTTATCTACACGCAGAACCCGAACCAAGCGCCGACCGCCTCCGCGAACCTCAACGCCGCCAAGGTGAACGCGTTCTACGTCGTTAACACGATGCACGACATCTGGTACCAGTACGGCTTCACGGAGAAGGCGTACAACTTCCAGAACAACAACAACGGCAAGGGCGGCGCGGGGAACGATCGCGTGACGGTGTCTGTACAGGACTCGGCGGGGACGGATAATGCGGATTTCTCGACTCCCGCGGAGTAGGTTTCGTGTTTCGACCGTGGTGTTGGCGTTCTGACTGATTCGTTCTGCGAAGCGGGCAATCTGGACACATGAGAATGTTCCTCTGGGACTACACCAACGTAAGCACGGTCCCAACTGGCGTAGAAACGTCGCGTGCTCATTCCTTGGCCTTCCTAGCCCGAACGTGATGGTGCACTCGAGAACGACATCGTCGTCCACGAGAACACACATGGGCTCACGAACCGTCTGACCGGCGGCGGTACCGGCCGCTGCCTGCAGACCACCGAGGCTGGTGGCATGGGTGAGGGATGGTCGGACGCCATGGCTGAATGGACGGAGCACAGCGACTCGTCCGTGCCCGACTATGTGATGGCTACCTACGTCACCAACGACGGGGCAGGGATCAGAAACTATCCCTATTCCACATCTGCGTCAGTGGTCCCTGCCACGCTTTCTCTGAATACGGGAATTCAGTGATTGTCCTGTAGGTCCACCAACCCGTTGAGGTACTCGAGTATTAAGAGCCTCAACGAGGTCCACAGTACGTAGAGTATTCTCGCCAATCTCGACTGATCGCTCTGGCTGACGGCATTCCCTAGATATTGGAGAGGTTTGGGCAAACATGCTCCACAACGTCTACGCAGCTTTAGTCTCAGCCCATGGATACTCGAACACAGCTAGGACCGACGCTAGTGGCACTGCCGGAAACAACATCTTCCTGCATCTCTTCATCGATGCTTTGGCTCTACAGCCTTGCAACCCTACTTGTGTGTCTTTCTCACCTCTCCAGCTTATGCTTGCATACTGATTAGAGCCACAGTCCTGACCGCCCGTGACGCTTGGATCCAGGCGGACGCCAACCGCTACGGCGGAGCCAACAAGTGTATACTCTGGAAGGCCTTTGCCAGCCGTGGGCTGGGCGTCAATGCAAAGAGCTATACCGACGATTCTTCCGTTCCTTCCGGGTGCTAGAGGTTGGATAGATGATGACACTCCGATTGGGAATTGATAGGCTATTTGTCGGTAAATGGGTCATATAAGGGAAACAAAAGTGTATTCACTACTCAATTTGATTGAATGGATTGTACGAGTGGCGTACCCGAACAAAGACCATGACATCAGTGCGAGGCTCCCCTTCTGACTTCCCGAAGATAAAAGCAGATATTGACGGTTTATCATGCCCTTTATCGAGGAATGGCCGTCAGCCCGTAACGTCATGCGTCCAAGACTTTCTCGACAACATCTGCTGTTTTCCCTGGCTCCGACTCTTCTTCACTCTGACGGGCCGCATCGCGCCCTTCGTCTCGTAGACGAATAGACTTCAAAACGACCTCTCTTACGCTATTCGAGTCAGCGAAGAGATAATCAATGCTCTCAAGTGTCCGGCCGGCTGTTTCGGGGAACCAATACCAAGAGATGAAGATGTTGGCGAAGTTGAAGACCGCAAAAATGATGTACGTCCTCCAGCCTATATTGGATATCGCAGGAGGAGTAATCTCGACCACCAGAAACGTGGTAATCCATTGGAACACGACCGACAGCGCCCCACCACGCTGCCTGGTTCGAACGGGCAGGATCCTGTGAAAGGTGCAGAGGTTTGCACGTCAGCGAGTGTAGAGGGCAGGGATTTGGGTGGCTCACTCGCTAGGATAGCACCACATATTGGACATCCACGAGACGGTGAAGAATCCCTGGTATATGTAAAGCATCACGACCGCGCCTATGCCATTGTTCCGCCCACCCAATTTGATCAAAATAGCTGAGATGAGCATACAACTTCCCAACCCGAAGCCTCCGAAGATGAAGAGTCGTCTCCGCCCAACCTTGTCAAGTAATACCCACGGAAGGAAGGACATGACGAGGAAGAAGAACTGCATCCCACCGGATATCCGGATATCAATAACGAATCGTGGCGCGTCGAACCGATCGAGTTCTGGATGACATATGGAGCGTAGTACACAATCATGTTGGTGCCGGTCAGTTGCTGGATGGACTGGACAGTGCACGCAATCATGGTTCGCTGCCAGCACATAATGCCTCCGTGGGAGAAGACATCTTTCCAAGATCCCGTCGCCGCCGCTTCCAGAGCGACGGCGTTCTGTATGTCCTGGAACTCGGCAGAAACGAGCTGGGAGGTGGGAAGAGCGTTGCGCAGAGAGCTGAGGACTTGTAGGGCTTCCTCTGAGCGTCCATGAGCGGAAAGCCATCGCGGCGACTCTGACGATAGAGAAGTCAGAGTTGCGCCATTCAGGACGATAGGAAGGCACTATACCAGGAAGAACGTTGCACATTGCAATCAATCCCAGCGCAAATACTATTTGAAAGGCGATGGGAAACCTCCATTGAATGGAACTCGGTCTTAGCGACATCCCGTAGTCAATCCAGTACGCTATCACAATGCCTACGATCAACGTTGACAGTTGTACCGCGATCATACGGCCACGCGAATGGGCAACTGTTGTCTCGGCCTGGTAGATCGGGACTGCACTTGTGATGAAGCCCATGCCGACGCCCGTGACCACCCTGCCAACAATCATCTGAACGCGACCATAGCTGGTGGCTTGCACTATGGTACCCAGAATCAACACGGTCGATCCTGCAGAGCAAATGGTCTTCCTGCCAAACTTCTCGCCCCAGCACGCACAAACCAGGGCGCCCAGGAGACATCCCAGCTCATACACGGCGACTATAAACCCGAGCAGTGTGGAGTTGGGGTTAGACAACTGAGCGAGAAACGTTGGGTCTGTGGTAAGACCCGAGAAGACTCCATTATCGTAGCCAAAGAGGAGGAAACCGAGAGAGCATGCGAAGGTGATTGCATATACCAGTGGTCTTCCGCGCAATCCCAGGTACGCCTCGACGGGCGGATTTGGCATAGCAGCAATGGTGCCGACCATAGCCGCTGTACGTTTATCAAGGAGACAGAGTCAAGGTTGCACGTAGCCTCCAAGAAACTTTGGGGTTTTAAATGACCCACCCAAATAAACGCGTTATATTGTACCAGTGATAGAACGCTAAACAGTACGGACGGGATACCAAGTAATTCCGAGCGTAGCTAAGAATAAACCTGGCATCCCTATCAGGCCTGGCTAGCGGCACTCACTTGACCAAGACGCGGTCAGGTGGGCTGATTTCAGCGGCACTAGACGGTGGAAAGTCGGGAGTTGTCGATCGCCTCAGGATGTCCCCAAACAATGTTTCGCCATATGCATGTCAGCGGAGGCACAAGAACGGCGTAGACCTCTTACATAACTGGAGGTGCTTCTTTCGAATTCGACGGGACCTACTGAATGACAGTCTTCATGATACGTACTCCCTGAGAAGTATATATAAGCCTATATCGAAGAATATGACGGGAGATGGAAAGAGGACAGAAAATCCACATAGCGGCGTGACGGATAACGTTACGGTATGGGCACGTGATGCGTACGCGTCGTACACGGCTCTTAGTGCACTTGACTCTCAGTCTCGCGAAACAACGCATCCGAGTTGACAAGCTAAGTATTGCCGACAATACCTAGGAGTCTCTAGAATCCTCTTCCTGTAAACACTCCTTTAGTTCCTCTCGTACAGTTGTCCAGTCCGAAAACCCGAAATGCGAAGGTAGCTTCTCCCAGATTTGTTCTCTGATGTGTTCGAGATTCGCGATGAATGCAGCGTCACAGGCCGCGCACATTTCTAGCCCAGTCTGTGGCCACAATGTTTGGAGGGGATTGCACCATTCAGTACCAAACGCCATCTTCCATACATCTTCTCGCGCTAGCCACTTCAGCCTCGCTGCATGGCACATCTCATGTTTCGGGCCTTCGAACCATGCAAAGAAATCCAACTGATCTGGGGTAAGACACCTTCTGGAAAATACCTCTGATCTCCAAGCAGTGACGAGCTTTTGACGGCCAAGAAGGCAACATCGCCGATCGTAGCTCGATAGACCGAGTATGGACTTCGCGGGATCCGCCTTCGCCTTGAGAATATGCCCCGTACCCATCTCGCAGCATGTATACATAGCAGATGGTATCAGCGCGCGGACATGCGTCTCTCGTGCGAGCCCAACGACTGCAGCTGCTTGCTCGATGAAGCCGCTGTAGAGGTCGGAACGTCTGTTCCGAGCATCCCATCCGTCCAAGGTGGTTGGATAGATGAGGGCTAGTTGGCGAATGGCTCGCTGGCGATAACTTGGGACGTCGTACTTAGTGCTGAGCCTCAGTACGGCGGCGACCACCTCGAAGTCGCTCTTGCAGCGTTTGTCATAGTATCTAACGCAAAATTCAGATCGCTGGATGTTCATCGGACACAATCGCGTACCCTGCAATGAAAATGGTCTTGAAGAAGTGCTCGACTTCCTTGGCTGTATCATGTAGCTCGACCTCGGGCACGATGTTTACAGTCGCGGGCTGCGGGAACGAAAACATATCTCGGAAGACTGACGAGTTCGCCGATAAGACGCCGCGATGGACCCGGAAGAACGTGCGCTGTGCTTGGAAAATCACATTGCCGTCCTCAAACCAGAGCTCTTGACAACGCCCGTAGGTGGGCTTCTCTCTAGGTCTTCCTTGCGATGTGCTGGGAGTGGGTTTGTAAGAGCCGATCGGAGATGACATGGTGCTCGTAGCGCTAGGTTTTATGTCAGCGACGACCGTCAAGCGAGACCCTTCGAGGCTAAGTTGCGTAGGGGTGAACATGACATATTCAGGGGTGCTAATGAGGGGGAGGGCTCACTCAAATCGGCTTACTTTGAATCATCAATTGCGCTCAAGGCCGTCCGGATCTGCGACATGAGGCTTCCGCGCGAAGTTTAGCACTGCCAGTGCATTCTGGTGGCGATCACAGCCCGCAGTTATATAGACTAATAAGATATCCCCTTGTTTGTACTCCGAATGGTATCTGCAGCCTACAGTGGACATTCTATGGAAGCCAATGCCATCATGCACAAGATGTCCAAGCGTACGACAAGAAATTCCCGTTTAACCACGGAAATAATCCAAGTATATATATGTAGTATTGAGTCCCGAAGTTCCGCAGTACGTATATTCTACGGAGTACGCGCGAGACATACTTCTGCCTTATAAACGTTAGGACTACACTTCAAGTTCCTGAAATTATGCCACCCATCCATCATGAAAACCCAGGTATTCAGTAGCCCCTGTAAGGAATAAGGAATGAGAATGTAAGTCATGAGACTTTATAGATCTTGGTATTCAGCCATGCAAATGCAATGCAGGGCGGGTAAATGAGGTTATGTAGACCCATACACCTTGGCGGGCGTACATCCATGACCACGCTTCCGGCCATTGAGACTGGGTGCGGCCATAAGGAAGTGCAAATCCGACCAGGATGAGTTACTCACATTGCGAGCATCGAGTTAACGTAGACTGAAAGAATAGGAACAGTAGGTCATGAACTTCGAGACGCTCAGGGATGGAGGAACAGGCGTACATTTTGAATGTGTGACGTAGATTCCGATGTACCACATCTCCAGCGGAAAAGAAACATACTGATATCCCGGAGAGGGGAAGGATGAGGAGAGTGCAAGACCTCCGAGATAACACTAAACTCACCAATACAAAGTATGCGCAGGTGACGATACTAGGATAGACCTATCGTTCGTATTTCATATCTTTTTCTTCGCCGACACGGCACGCACCTTGTCAGCAACCCCGTCGTTATCGTCCAATTCATCAGAGACGACACCAACGATCTTATAAGGAGGCAGCAGCCCCATTCACACATGGTGTCAATCCCAGACGCACCCGAACTCACCTCGTCGGACGTAATCCGCGGCCTTTATGTTTGTAGAAAAAATAGCACATCGTGCACGCGATGATGACATCGTTCGCGGCATGGGCTAGTGCGAATATGTAGGGTTCCCACTAGGTTCGGAAGGGGTTGTGGATAATGAAGGAGTGGGAGGGACGATAGAGGGGAGAAGTACCTGATTGACGCTTGAGAAGCGAAATTCGGGATAACGGTAGCTATAAGCGCGGTCAGCATTTCAGTCTTGTAGAGAGATTATTACGACTTTCGGCGTACCATTTAGCTACGTAGGCTGTATGGATGGGACAGAGTTGATTAACATGCTCGGGTGGCTTTGTACAGTGTAAAGAGCGTGTACTCGCCCATGGAAAACGCTATTCAGGGGCGATTAGATTCACTAACATATGTTTGAAGACATGCGGCAGACAACAGCTTACCAAAGGCCAAACACGGTAGGATCCCCTGACTATAGGCTCAGATGACACGAATATGTAGATGTATGTCTTGAGTGCTCACGAGGATCAAGGCGAGCCTACTCTGCCCGACTTAAGGCACAACAGGCATCAGTACCTCGTAGTTAACAGATTGTACGACAGAGTACGTACGCTTGGACATCCTCAGGATGAAAAAGCTGGACGGTCACGGTGAGAGAGCGCCCCTAACTCCTGACAGCCACCCTTACCACTCGACTATCGCGGTGCTCAGTTCCTAACACTTCTCGTGAATCGAATGATGGCCGATGACGATCGACATACATACTGAGGGGATGATTTGAGCCTTCTCGGGGCGTCCTGGTCATCAGGAACATCCTAATCTCGACTGGTGAGGAACGGGCCATACCACAATGCTCCTGCTGTCTTTAGAAAACCGGGAGCGCTGTAGTAAGACTCACGGGACGCACCAGTTTGAAGACAAGCACGCGATCAGGTTGACATTACATCGAGTTACGAGGTAAAACCAGCCGGAGTGGAAAACGAAGGTCTGTTGCACTGTATCATTCTTCATGATAATGAGCCGAAGAAAGGGAGTTTGACCAGCTGACGCTGACCAGCCAAAGTAATGCTACCTGAAGTAGTCATTTTTATTTCAGTGACATAACAAGGCCATCGGGGAAGTGACAGACGTACCAATATTCTTAGGAACTGGGGATCGTCTGGATAAGCCCGAAAGTATGCGATGGTCTGCCCACAAGTGATCCCGTAGAGCCTGCTACGCGTTACGCCCTGAGTAAGTAAGTGATCGACAGCCGTACTTACGCCGTGGCGATGGTCAGGCCGTCGAAAAACGCGCCAAAAGTACTGTCAAGGCCCGACATAGCAAGCAGTCGGGCAGAGCAATAGTGACAACAGGCGGGAACGTGTTTATATCGTGTTGTTGATGAGCTACGAACAGATTCGGAACGAGCATCAAAAGATGTATCATGATACATCACTCACATTGAAGATGGTAATCAGGTCACCATGAACATATATCGGTGATAAGCGTCATATAAGCCTGGGGTAAACCAAGAAGTCTCATAGCCTTCAAGTTCGTCGGCCACGACCATAACGTTACATCAAAGCTTCAGAACCCTTGGACTGAGATCTTGTTCCTAGGCTGGATTAGAAGAGAAGAGCTCGTGAGGGTAACCCATAATGAACAGACCATGCGTCCGATGGCCCAGGCGGAACATTGACAAGGCCGGAGATAGAATGCTAACATGGTGTATAAATTTAGAGCGCCCGTGAGATGTGTCTACAGAGGTTGCCAAGGCAGTGTAACGACGAGAAATTCCCTTCTTCGTGACCTCCAGTTTCCGCGAGGGCTTATTGGACGACTCGTGCAGAACACCGACGATTTGCTAGGACATAACATATCCTGTGGTACCAGGAAGACGATGCCCTGAGATGTGCCAGATCAAGACAATCTCCGACTATTCGACTAAGCTGAGAAGTTTAAGCTTGAGTATACACACAGAGCAACCTGCGTCATAAAAATATTGCCGTGTCATAATGTTGTTTCCAAGGAATAGGGAGGACTTACCACCGTCTTGCATACTCGAAATGAGGGTAAGATCCAAACGCAATGCATTCTGGTGGTGCACTGAAGGGTCTGCGCGTCGACTCGGACTCATGCGTTCGTAAGGCGTGCTATCAGTTACAACTCAGTACTCAGGAGTTAATCGGAATATTGCGACAGACGCCCTGGGGAAACCCTTGTATATCGTCGGGGTCCTATAGATTATGGTATTGAACCATGAAATGTAGTTTTCAGCAGTCGGTCCACCACGGGGTATATACAGGTGAACGGAGCAGCAGGAAGATCGAGAAGACCAAGTCAGCCCGACCCATATACCTGTGTGATTGCGCGTCCCCTGAGACGCTTCCGGCTATTCAGACTGACATGCACTCGTAAGTGAGCGCAAGTCCGACCGGCACAACTTGATTCACTCACACTGCGAGCATTGAGTTGACGTAGACTACAGAAATAGGAGCAGCGAATGGTGAGTACTGGGTAAACGCAAGTAACCGGGAGAAGACATACATTTTGAATGTGTGATGTAGAGCCCGATGTACCACATATCGAGCGGGAACGCGATGTACTGGCTCAGGGGGGAAGGAGAAGAATGAGATCAGTACGATACATTCTGCGATGTCGCTGGAACTCACTAGAACGAAGTACGACCAGGTGACGATGCTAGGACGGAGCGATGGTTGGTACCTCTTATATCTTGTCCGTCGAGAAGCGGGTACGTACCTCGTTAGCAGCCCCGTCGTTATCGTCCAATGCATCAGAGACGAAACCAACGACCTGATAAAGGGCGCAATGTTCCCATCAAAGGTGAAACTGGCCTCGGACGCACCTGGACTCACCTCGTCGGGAGGAACCCGCGATTTTTATGTTTCCATAGGAAATAACACATCGTGATGGCAATAACGATATCGTTGGCAGCGTGTGCTAGTGCAAATACGTAGACCACCCACTATTCTCAGGAGAGCGTAAGTAATCATTGCGTGAACAGTAGGGAAGACTTGCCTGGTCCTGAGTGGCGAAGCGGAATTCGGGGAGGCGGAAGCTGCAGTGGTGATGATGATGAACATCTACCTGCCTTTGGATGAAAGATCTACGCGTACCATTTAGCCACGTAAGCTGTGCAGATCAGCGGGTATGGTCAGTGATTTCGGTTTATCATGCAGAATGGCCGGGGGGATACTTGCCCATGCAAAATGCTGAGCGACTCGGTCAGTTTCTGTGTCACATCTGAAATGAGATGCCCGAAATATGGACTTACCGAAGGCGACGCATGGTAGTATTCCCTGAGGGGGTGTTCAGCACGGATATGTAACGCAGGGCGTTGGGTATGTCATACCAGAATTAACGCAAATTTACTCTGGCCAACTGAGGGTGGTCTATAGATTCAATAATCCGACATGGGGAAAGTAAAATTCTCTACGCACGCTTGTATATCCTAAGGATAAAGAAGCTGGGGCCAAGGTAAGCGGGGAACGGTGAATGGTGATCACATAACTTTACAATTCAACGATGGCGGTGCTTAGTTCCTATTCCCCACCGTCGATCAATAGAATCCGGCGAGGATTGAAGGACATACTGAGGGGACGATTTGGGCCTTCCAGGACCGTCCTCCTCATCAGCACAGGGCGAGACGCCACGCAATAAGGGCTCGGACGTACTACTATGCTCCTGGAAACGCTCAATAACACGAGCTTCGCGCCAGAAAGACGTCACGCACCAGTTCGAAGACGTGCATGCTATGAGGTTACACCCGCATTTGGTCACGAGGTAGTACCACCCAGCGTGGAAGACAAAGATCTGTTGGAGCGTATCGTTCTTCGCGAGCGTCAGTCGAAGTAGTTGACGAGTTGATTGATGCATACCACCCAAAGCAATGCCACCTGCAGTACTGCATTTCGGTCACCTCGTACGACGATTAGATAATAGTGTACCTACCAGGACTTTGAGATACTCCAGATCGTCTGGATAAGCCCGATAATACGCGATAGTCTGTCCGCAGGTAATTCCATAAAGCCTACGACGCGTCGATCTAAACAATAAGTTCTGATCGAGAACCACGTTCGTACTTACGCTGTCGCGATAGTCATCCCATCAAACATGGCGCCGAATGTGTTGTCAAAAGCCGACATAGTGACGGTCGAGAAAGCAGAATGGGCGAGAAGGCGGGAGGGTGCTTATAAAACGTCGTCGACCAGGTACGAACAGACTTCGAGACGCGCTCCATATAGGGAGTATCAGTTATTGCTCGCACGCACTGAAGATAGTAGTAGATTTTCGAGAAGTTTGAGGGTTAAAGTATAGGCCTTAACAACGAGTCTATTACGGCTGGGCCCCCACATTGCGGCCGGCTGCAGTGACCGAGGTAACCAGGATTACCTCGTCGATCAGGAGGCGCCCATAGAAAAAGGGTCCGTCTGGGTCCGTGAGCCTCAACCACACCGCGGAGTTCGTGGCCTTCCACGATCCTGTCCGATGTAAGCTTCAACCCTTAGGTCTTAGGACTGATGTACTGGAACGAGCCGTAAGTTCCTGGCCTGAACCAGGACATAGGGAAGCTGGATGGCAGTGGATAGCTTATGTGTCCCTTTCCATGAGCAACACCAAGCCCAAGACTGCCCAAGACTGCCCCTATCCGTCAGTTCATTGATGCATATCTGAAGAAGATCGGGGGACTTTCGAAAAAGAAAGCCGATGGCGCACAAAAGCTTGGAGCGCCGGCGAGACTGCTGATGTTCGCGGGCGCTGGGATTATTGCAAGCGGCACGAAGCGTCAAGGGATTGTCATGAAATATCGCATCCCATGGTACCAGGAAGGTGGGACCGTGAGATGCGCCACATCGAAACAAAAGTCTGGCTATTTGACATACTAGTGCTGCAAAGCTTGACCTGGAGACACAGGGCCGAAAGACTGCGCAGCAGTAACAATGGAGTTCAGAGTTGTCCCCATGAGCGAATAGGTTTCCGTCCAAATAAAAAGACTTAAACAAGACCGACGAGCGACGGTCCTTCCTAATAGTGTCTGTGACAAGAAGCCCCGACATAAGTCACGAGACACGTTGTTTGCGCGTTATTTGGTCGTGCATTGGGCAGCCCCTATACTCAGAGTACTGCATCCTCTGAATCTGTTGCCGCTAACGCAGTGGCTTAGCAAAATCCCCGCTCTAGCTTTCGAAATACCCGCTTACTCTACCCAGCGTCGGTCTATGGACATCATCGAAATTAGCTCGTCCCCGGAGCCCGTGCCCAAACTGCGGCGGAAGCTGCGCGCCGCTGCGGCATCGGAAATTATCGAAATATCGGACTCGGATACTGAAGGATCGAAGCAGCGACCCGTAAAGAAACAGAAAGCCAAGGCGGCGCCTGAAGCAGGACCTTCGCGTCCGCGGCGAGCGCACAGCTCCCAGCCAAAGGCAGGCCCGTCCGAGCCCAAGGCGAAGAAAGGCAAGGGCCGAGCCGTGGATCCTCGACCTTTGCCGCTGTTCTTGCCTGAAGACGATGAGACCGCGCCTGATGACCCGGGAGCGTCCCAACACATTGATCCCCCGCCCTCCCGTTCGCCCAGTCCCCGACCGGCAGGTTCCCCGGCGCCACGAGCGGAAACGCCGGCACCTGTACCTTCCTGTCTCTCGCAAGTCCTTGAGATTATTCCGGACGTCGAACCTGCACATGTGGTGTCGCTCATTGAACCACTGCTGGAAGTCCGGAACGCGAAGGGAGAAGAGAGGAACAATGAGGTGATTGTCCAAGCAGTCCTTCATAACCTATTCGAAAGAGGGGACTACCCAAAGGTTGATCGGAAGGGTAAGGGAAGAGATATGAGTGGAAGTGGCAGTGGCAAGAGGGGCGCTGCGGCGGATGTGGATGAGGGGGACGAGCCTGCGAAGAAGAAGGCCAAGCTCGACTCCGGGTGGTCTTTTGAGGATCTTGACGGAAGCGAGGGCGAGATCGACTGCGGGTGCTGCTTCACGCCGTATCCTTTCGTAAGCTCCATCATCTGCCTGATCTTTCCCTGCCAATACATATCGTGGTGCCACTGCACCCTACAGAACAAGCTCATACAGTGCCCGGAGGCTCATTTATTCTGCACGGATTGCATGACGAACTACGTATCAAATCTGCTTGGCATGCAGGATCCCAACATCAAGTGTATGGACCAGAGTGGGTGTAAGGAACACTTCACTGAAGGGGAGCTGCGCCGGTGCGTCGTTTATTCCACCCTGCTCGCCCGCTTGCCACTTAACATGCGCCCTCGAATCAGGTTCATGTCTCCGAAACTCCTTGAACTGTACGAGAAGGTACGGATGCGTAGGGAGATCGAGAGCGCCCAGCTCGAGGGTCTGGAGGAGTGTCCGTACTGCGAGTATAAGGTTGTGGCAGGTCTATTCGGCGAGAACCTAACGCTGACGCTTGGTCACCAGGTTGTGATCGAAAGCGCCGAAGAGAAGCTGTTTAGGTGCGAGAATAAGGAGTGCGGCGCGGTGACTTGTAGGTTCTGTAAGAAGGACGTGAGTTGTTGCGTCTGATATTTGCAATTGGTCCGCCATACTAATGTTACCCCTCTGTCGCAGGATCATTTACCGAAAAGCTGCAAAGGTGCGAGGCCCTCGCCCGTCAAGGTGACGTCGTACTGATCCTCCCCATAGAAGTTGAAGACGACAAGAAGATCGACGCGAGGCATGCCGTGGAGGAGGCCATGAGTAGGTGATTTGAAACTCTTGAGTTAACTGCCGCTCATGGTATCTGCAGCGAAAGCTCTGATGAGGAATTGCCCAAAGTGTCAGAAAGGTGAACGCAGTAGCTCATATAAGGCTCGAGGCCTTGCTCATTTCGTGTTCCTTCCCCTGCTTAGCCTTCATAAAGGAGTATGGCGTACGTGCTTATAGTCAGTTCTAGTGAGTTGCGCGGGCTGACCGGTTGACCTGCGATTTCAGTGTAACAAGATGACGTGTCCCTATTGCCGTACACTGTCCTGCTATATCTGCCGGCAGATCATAACGGGATACGAGCACTTTGCCCACGTAAGTGGTCTCCTCAAATAATTCTCAATTATCATCCGTGCTTATCGCGGATCACACACTATGTAGCCGCCCCCTTACACTGGTCGTCAAGATTCCAATAAATGTGCGCTCTGGGACCCGGTCGAGAAGCGACACAGTGACGAGGTAAGCCGCCTTCTCTTCCCATCTGAAACACAAACCAGACCCCTTTCATCCTGTAGGTTGCAGAAGCGCGGAAGAAAGCCATCGAACAAACCAAGCTCGCCAATCCCGACGTCGACGAGAAAGACCTACAAGTCGACCTTCCCCCGCCCCCGCCTGCAGCCGCGGCCGCCGCACCAGCTGGCCTGCCAGTTTACCACCATGTCCCGCTACCCGCTCGTATCCCTCCACCGCCACCTCTGCCCCGGGCTTTGTTGATGATGCAGCAAATGCGCCAGCAGCGTGGTGGTCCACATGTGCTCGCTCCTCCGCTCCATCCCCCCGCCGTGCAGCTGCGCGATGCGTTTGATCTTAGGTTCGGGGTGGGTGGGAGGGCCCCGGAGGTCGTCGTCAGGGCGCCGAACAGGAGGGCGCGGGCGCCACGACCTGCAGCGGCTCGCCCGAAGCGCGTGAGGTGAGATATCCGTGTGGGTTTAATCCCGCCGTTATATGCTCTCGGTTAAAAGAAGGCGTCTGCGTGAACGCGTGAACGCGCTAGACCTTGCTCGTCATTTACTGCGTATTCTTGTCTTAATGTTTTCTTGTTGCATTACCTATGCTCGTGAGCTTAGCAGGAGAATCGCCGGACCGGGAGGGCTAATGCCCTTGCCTGTATTAAGCACGCGAATAACGGCTCGTCCTATCCCTGCTCGCTGACGACTGATAAGAATCCCCGATGTGCTTGCTAGGTTTTTCGAAGTAGGTCTGTGGTAATCCACTTAACATCACACCAAAGTGGATATATGCGTGGACACTTGAGACTAAAAAAATCCTCAACGTTTCAATTGATACGACTAATACTTCTTAGTGAGAAAATATTTCGATGTGGCTGCTGGCTAGAGGGCCGCGAGTACTTGAGTATTGGGTGCTCGCCGCTGGTATGAACACTCCATTCACTACCGTCTAACGGAAGGGGTTTATACTTGCAATACAATTTTTCTAGCGCTTCACATCCATTGACCGTTGATTTTCAAAGGTATATCACGAAGCAAGGGGCGGACAGAAATAAAATTTTAGACCACATGCCACAAATCTCAGTTAAGGGTCTCCAGGGGACCCCCCCTCCCCCCGTGGGACAGTCTCACGGTACATAAAGGGAAGGTATGTCGCACAGCAAGCAAGGGTTAGGGTTACTTTGTCACCGGGGGTGTCACATCTACTTCGGTCACAATTCATATGTTTTCTGAAGATCGCTACCAGGGGTCATTCTTTCTCACCGCTTTCCTCTGGGATCTTCAGAAAGGCATTTACAGTCGTTTGCATATGAAACCGAAAATCGGGTTTCCGTGAGCATTGTTTGTTCGAGCCAAATATACCCATATGTAGTAATGCGAGATGGCTTCTTGTGACTGCGTGACTGTCAGATAGCATTCATCGACGTCTCGAACTTGAAGTATCGACTGGCTGGTACCATGGTTCACCTCACTCGACAACTACGTGAACGTATCATTGTCTGGCGCCATGAGCAAAACAAGACACTCCGAGTGATTTCTGAGCTTGCGGGATGCAGTATAAGCACAGTCTTCGAAGTTCTCCGACTCTACACGGAATACGGCACAGTCATCAACCCGAATGCTAGACCTCGAGGCCGGCCGCGCACTCTCGACATGCAGGATATGAACTTCGTGCGATCAGTTATTGAGGGAGAGCCTGCTATCTACCTTGATGAGCTACGAGATCGAGTCTACGAGGACCGCGGTGTCAACATGTCTTTGGCATCATTGTCTCGTGTAGTCCATCGACTCTCACTCTCTCGAAAGAGAATATCCAAGGCGGCTCTGGAGAGGAATGAGCTACTGCGTGCTACATGGCAAGCTCAGTGGGGGGACTTGCCTATGGAGTATTTGGTTTGGATAGATGAGTCGAGCATAGATGATCGAACAAATCAGCGGTCCCGTGGCTGGGCGGATATTGGGCGAGCGTGCGTACGCCGTGAGGCTTTCCTGCGTGGTCAACGC